ATTACTCCTGGTGGGGCTCAGGTGCCCATTTATGGCACTGGGGGGTTGCAGCATGTAAGGCTAGCACCCTACCCACTGTACTATTGATCCATAGATATTTTTGGTGAGATATCCAGTTCATTGAGTTTAGTATGTCCCTCCATTTTCTTCTGGCTCTAGAGTCTCATTTGATAGACCTACTATGAATCTTATGGACTGGAGCGATAGCACAGCGGGTAGGGTGTTTGCCTTGCATGCGGCCAACACTGCCTACCTGAGTTTGATTCCTTTGCCCCTCTCGGAGAGCCCAGCAAGCAACCGAGAGTATGTCGCACTCACTGCAAAGCCTGGCAACCCCTGATGTATTCGATATGCCAAACACAGTAACAAGTCTCACAATGTAACTGGGCCCGCTTGAGCAAATCGATGAACAATGGGAGGACAGTGACAGTGACAGTGACTATGAATCTCATGGGTTGGAGTGATAGCACAGCAGATAGGGCATTTGCCTTGCACGTGGTTGACCTGGGTTCGATTCCTCCATCCCTCACAGAGAGACCAGCAAGCTACCAAGAGTAGCCCGCCCCCACAGCAAAGCCTTGCAAGCTACCCATGGCATATTCGATATGCCAAAAAACAGTAACAACAAGTCTCACAATGGAGACGTTACTGGTGCTTGCTTGAGCAAATTGATGAACAATGAAATGATAGTGCTACAGTGCTGCTGTAAATCTTAGTGGGATACTGGGATTCGTGGTGGTGGGAAATGGGCACTGGTGGAGAGAGGGGTATTTGATCATTGTATAATCAAAACCCAAGCACGAAAATTTGTAAGTCTGCAACTGTACCTCATGATGTCTCACTAATAAAAATTAAAAAAAAATATTTTCAAAAATAAATAAATAAATCTTACTGGCTTTCTTTTATATGTGAGTTCACTTTTTGATTTTGCTACTTTCCATATTCAATCTCTGATTTTCATCATTCTGAGCACATAGACTCTTTGAGTTTTTTGTTGTTGTTCTTGTTGGGTCTTTTTTCACTGGGACTTTTTGGGTCTCTTATATTTGGTTGTCTATATTTGCCAACTCTGTGAAGTTCTTAACTATGATTTTTTTAGTTCTTAATTTTTCATCAAATTTGCCTTTCTGGTCTTCAGATATTTTGATGGTTCTTACATTGTTCTTGAGCTCATCCACAGTTTTCTGTTGTGCCATTCAATTCTCTTTGGATTATTTTCCATCATCTGTCCTTTTCTAGAAGTTTCCTCCACCTCGTCTTGGAATTTCTTTTGTTTTTTTCCATCTTGGAATTTCTTGATCTTCTTTTCAGTTGTAGTTATTCTGCTGTTCAGAGGCTGAGGCTTAATGAGGTTTAATGACTTCAAAGTAACACAGGTAGTCATCAAAGCACAAAGAAAACATAAGAGCTAAAATGAGAAAACTACAAGTAGAAATGACAGAAATGAAGAATATGGTTGGTAATATAAAAAACTCTGAGCAGCAGAATAACTGTATGAGTGGCATGAGTAAATTAAAGTTTTATCCTCATATTTGTGGCAGGATTTAAACAAAATTTTTTTAATTAAAAACACCATGATTTACAAAGTTGTTCATTATATATTTGATTCAAGCATTTAGTGTTTTAATACCGCCAATCTGACCCACTCTCTACTAATATCCCCAGTTTCCCTCCCAGTGCCAACTTGCCCCCTTTGACACATAACAAATTTACTTTATATTGATTATTCCAACAAAACTTTAAGAACTGGCAAATAGAATGATCAGAAAATTAATCAGTAAGAGCCAACTACTGATTACTATAAGATTTTGACCTTTGCAAATTAGAAAATTAAAACCATTTAATACAATATAATAAAAATGCCTATTCTCATTTACATATGCACATTTTCAACTCTGGAATCTAAACTATCTCACAGTAAATTTTATTTTGTATTTGGATACTGTTATGGTACAAATCATATCTCACCTGTTATTAATAACACTTTTTTTTTTTTGCTTTTTGGGTCACACCCGGTGATGCACAGGGGTTACTTGTGGCTCTGAATTCAGGAATTATTCCTGGCAGTGCTCTGGGAACCATATGGGATGCTGGGAATTGAACCCCAGGTCGGCTGCATGCAAGGCAAATGCCCTACCTGCTGTGCTATCGCTCCAGCCCCTATTAACACTTTTAAAGCAATTTTGTGTTAATATATTTTGGAGTTTACATGGAATAGGTAAGGCCTACATATGTAAATCTTCCCCTTAGACTTTACACACACACTGAGGTTTACAAAGTTGTTCATGATTTGTTACAAGCATTCAATATTCCAATGCCAATCTCATCACCATTACACCTTCCCTCCACCATTGTCTACAATTTTTCACAATCATCCCTTAAGCCTGCCCCCATCGTAGGCCCTCAAAAATTTATTTTACACTGATTGTTATAAATAACTTGCTAACACAGTGATTGAAAATGTTTCCTTAGAAGAAAGTGAAAATTTTTGTATCTCACCATGAAGCCATTAAGTTCTTATATAAGAGATTCCTAAGATGTTACAGGTTAAGTTTTCTTTTTGTTTCTTTTTTCTTTTTTCTATTGGATCATCCATCCCCTGGTTCTGGAAAAAATTCACTTTTTTCCTTACAGATTTGATCTTTGTGGAAACACCTCCCACCCCTACAACCATGAAGTTTTTTTACTCTATTTTTTTTTTTTGGACTTCTGTACAATGTAATATTTTCACTCACAGTTCAAGATATCTTTAAGGCTCTTAGTAAGACTGTATGTAATGTTAGCTCCTTAAAGCTGTAGGTCAGATTGTGCATAATAAAATATATACTTTGGATTATATAAACACTCCAGGAAGATGGGGAGACAGAGCCCTTCTGTGTACACATTTCAGACTTCGAGGGAGATGCCTGTTTAGAATTCTAAACACTCCTAACTAGGCAGTGATGAAGTTACTTCTTCAGTGATTGTGATTCTGAAACAACAAAGACAAGAATTTTTCATCCCATAAAATAATTTAAAGACGATGACAGTAATTAACATATTTACTTTATGTGATGTTCTATTTGCTACTCAAGTAGATTTGAGGGTAGAGGGGAAAAGATGAGTATCATTGTCTTCAAAGCCCGATTTAAGTAAGCAATTACATCAAGAACTTAGAGGATATAGTTTAGAAGAGGCAAAGACAGAAGCCCAGGATAAAATTGTAAATTTCACCCAGTACACATTTTACTCATTATAGAGGGAACTATGCCAATCTATTTCCTTAGAATTGTTTCTTTTATATGTTAATACATCAGATTAGACTACCTCAGAGTTGTTTGCTTTTAGTTTGTGTCAATCTTTTTGCTATTAAGGTTGCTATCTGGCTTTTAAGAAATCTGTTGCTAGATTGGTAACTTATCCATTGAAAGGGAAAATAAATAAAACATATTACCATATTTCTCAACAATGAAACATTTCAGAGTGAAGAAATGTCAATGACTTTTCTGCTTTAATTAAATTGTATTTTAAATATTCATATCTGTATTAATTTCAGGAATACTTCAAGGCTGCTGATATTTGAATATTAAATAGCACAGAAATAATCAGACCTCTGAATTTATGGAGAAAAAATTCAAAACAGCTTTCATTGTTTTTTATTTTGGTAAGAGAGTGTAAGGTATTTTGTTTCCTGTCCCTTTTCATAGAAAGTTTAAAATATGGTCACTCTTCGCCCAGGGTATCTTTATATTGGGAAGCTCTGCGTGAGGTTGAAGTTTTTATGGGGGAACTTGTTTAAAACACAGTTGTCTTTAAAGGCTGGTTTGCCACAGAAAGGTTAGAGGTTGCCAGTAAATTCCTTTATAGCAACTTCTGTATTCCCTGCTCCAGAGACGCCGTTGGGGAGACCCACGCACAATTTCCGCAGCCACACAGGACAGCAGCAGCGCTAATTGATCCTTCTGTGACCACAGCTGGTTTACAAGGCTTCTGGCGGAGAATTCCCCAGGGCGGGGGTCGGGGTGGTGAGTTGGCAAACCCAGGACCCCAGAAGTAGGCCCCTACTCAGGTTTTCATTTGGTTGGTGAGTAACAAAACATTTCCAACTCCGGGATCTAATTCACAGCCACCCATGGAAACAACAGTATCGTCTCGTTATTTCTCCTCTCTCCATTTCTCCCTCTCCCGAATGATAGACACAAGACGGTAGTCCCTGGTGGGTATGACACTGACTAATAGGGCCAGCCGGAGGGCTCAGAGGAAGCGGTAGACTTGGGGGTCCCAGGCACACTTGGGCGGTCTCCGGTTCCCAAGAAAGTCCTTAATTCGCTGCGGAGAAAGAAAAAGGCACAGCAGGAGGCAAGATGCGATGCCCTTTACACCTTTTATCACCTTTAGCTCATTCTTGTCCCAGAAGTCTGGGAGGAGGATGGGGGAGGAGGGGTGGGGGGGGGGGAGAGAGAGAGAGAGAGAGAGAGAGAGAGAGAGAGAGAGAGAGAGAGAGAGAGAGAGAGAAGGAAAGGAGGGAAGGAGGGAGAGAGAGGTAGGTTAGTGAGGCAGAGAAAATTCAGGAACGCCACACCAGCCACCCTAAGGCTTCCATGAAAAGTTCAGGCTTCAGCTGGGTTAATTGCTCCCATATGTCCTCCAAGGCGGCTTTTAAAAATCAGCAAGGAGGGGAGCCGGGGTCACTTCACTTGATCTCAAAGACTTTCGGAAAGAAAGAAAGGGTCTCACTCTGGACCCAGTCCTAGAGGGGACCCAGAGAATCTGGGGTCCCGTCCTCTCTCGGGGGGGAGGGGGGAACCTGGGCACCGTGCGGGAGGAGGACCGCGCGCGGCGCCCCGGCGAGGACAGGAGCCGCTGCAGCCCGGGCCGGGGCGGGGCGCGGCGCGGCGCGGCGCGGAGGCGCGGCCGGGCGGGCTGGCGGGCGGGCTGGCGGGCGGGCGCGCGAGAGGAAGGGTTCGCCTTCGGGAACACGCGCGGGGGCGGGGACTCGCGCTGCCAATGAGGCCCCGGGGTGGGCCGAGCGGGGCGGGGGCACCGGCCCGAGCGCAGCCCTCACTGTGGCAGCTGCGGGAGCTGCGGCCGTCTCGGGAGCCGGAGGACTAGGCAGCCGCGGAGCGCCGCGCTGGCCGCGCCCCGAAGCCCGGCCCTGGGGGTGGGGATCCGCGCGGCGGAGCTGGAAACTTTCCCGGCAGGTAACTCCGCTCGCCCGGGCGCCGCTGCCGCCGCCGCTTGTCCTTTGGGTCCCGGGCAGGACCGGCTGCCTCGGCGCGGACCGGGAGGAGAGGGTCCCGGGGAGGACGAGAGCGTGATGGGGACGAGTAGAAAGGTCTATGGGAAAGTTTCGAGACCCCCTCTCCCTCCTTCTCGGGGCACACCCGGGAGCTTTCCGGGGATAGGCACGGACATGTCGGGCGCCCCGGGCCTTGGTCTGGGCGCCTCTGGGGGAGTCGGCGTCTCCCCCTCTTCGTCCCCTCCGCCCCGGACCGAGCCGGCTCCCCGCGGAGCTAGGGAGTCCGGGGCACGGGGACGCGCTGCGGGGCGCTGGAAATTTCGGACCACCACCCTCTTCCCTCGCCCGTGGCGCTCTTCTTGGCCCCCTTTCCCGCCTCCTCTGTATCCCTGGGGCTTGGCGAGGGCCCCTGGCTGCGCCTGGTACTTGTCGCGGAGGAGCGGAGCGCCTGGCACCGCGGGATCCCGGACGCCCTCCAAAGTGTTAAGGGTGCGCGGGGTCGCGAAGTTACCTGGTGAATATAAGCCGGTGGGGGGAGGGGGCGGAGGAGGTCGTGCTGCCCCAGCCTGGGCTAAAGGTCTTCTGACTTGGCTTCCTAGAACACTGCGGTTAGTAGGTACACTTTTTTTTTTTAATTTGGGGGTATAGTGGGGGGATGGGATTACACATTGAGAGGCAGCTGAGAAAGAGGAGAATGGTATCAGGACTGTGCCCTCCCATGTTCCCGGTAGGTGGACCGGAGTCACTTTGGGGGGACGACGTCTTGTAGGTGATCATACGCTCTTCTTGGAGGATTTGGGGGTGCGGGCGCTCAGTGCTGGGGATGCGAGGGGCTCCCCGCTTTGGCGTGGCAGCTTTCCGGAACGGCTGGCCAGGAAGGAAGTCCTAGGCATTGTGTGGCTCCTTTTGCAGACAGAAGCGTCCCTGGACTGATGTTTCCCAAACTTACTTGACTTACTGCAGCGCGCTCAGTAGGAAATGCGGCGCAGGCCAGGTAGAAGTGCGGCACCGTGGCCAGGAGACCGGAGGACGCCGGGCATGGCGAGCGCCTTCCGCTCCCAGCCCCCTGCAGCCGACTCTCCAGATTCTTGGGTGGTGGGACTCTAACTCGAAAAAGTTGTTTCCTGCTGGTGCCCATTTGGGCACCTTCATCTTGAACTTGACCTCAGGAGCATCGCAGTCTGAGGGGGTGGGGTTAACAAGGTAAAGGAAAGGTGAATCTTGCGTGGGATGGGGGCCTCAGACTCTGGGGCGGACAGGAAATGCCTGGTTGAGAATCGAGGAAAGGGTTTAGGATTTTGCAGGACGCCAGCTGGCAATGCCAGACCTCCGGACGGCAGAAGTTATTAAGTGGGGCTGAGGATGGGAGAGGGAAAATCAGGTTCATTGGTAGAGAGGGTGGTATTTCCCTGGAATGAAAATGAAGGAAGTCTATGCAACACCTCCCCCCCTCCCCCCCCCCCCCCCCCCCCCGCCTTCCTGGGTCATCTTTATTCCTGCCAAGTTGGCACTCCAAGGGTGGGGGAGGGAAAGTAGAAGCCAGGGAAAGCTTCTCTAGTCATTTTGGAGTATTTTGTAGCTAGCAAGGTTTCTGATTTTAAACAGCTGCTTCTTGATTGCTTGTGGATGAAAGAGTTTATGAGTGATGGAGATGTTGGGTATAGTTGTAGCTCGAATAAATAGTTTGTTCATCTAAGTTGCCTCAAGATCTCCACAAGAGACCTTCTCTGGAATATGCCAGTTCTTCAGTTTGTGGCAGCCAGAATGTTTGGTGGGTGTCAGTCAGAAATGCAGCGTAAATATATCCTGGCGGTATTAAGATGAGAAGTTTGCCAGAGTAAAGGAAATATGGTATCTGACATCCTTCAGGACTTCCTCCTGGGTTGCTCCTGTTACCTGCCAAGTGAACCCGGTCCAGGCTTCCGGACTGTTGTGATTTTACAATAAAGGATGGGAAATACTGTCATCGATTTTGGTGGAGGCAGGAAAGTCCAGAAATAAATGTAAGATTTCTTTTCACGACCCTCTCTTACAGCTGGGATGCCACAAACTGAACTTTGCTGAGATTTGGAAGCTGTGTTTTTTCTGCTTTTTGGGTTTAACCACCATAATGTCCAAATTAGCACTATTTATGCCCATCGTGGAACTAATTCATAGTCAGCTCTTTTTATGCATCTTATAACAGTCTGTGAAAAAAGAACATGTTGTCTCTTTAAACACACTAGTTATTTGGTGCCATTGTGGGTTTTTTATGGTTGTTTTCGGGTACCATTTGAAGGACAATGGAAACATCTTGATTAAAATATCCATTTTTAGGTAATAACTCTCCAGCTCGTGGTTATTTCTTTATCTCCCAGGGAGCATTAAAATTCATGTACCTGGGCTGGTAGAAGTGTATGTATTGTAATGATACTTTCATCATAGCTGGAAGTTAATGTTATGTTGATGTTTTCATTATAGACATGTCTAACTCAGTTGTAAACGGTTTGTCTGGATTGGGTTGGAAATAGTGTTTGAGCCTCATACCCAGATAAATGGTTTGTTTAATTTTTTCTGATGAAAAGTTTAGCTTAACTTGAGAGTTACAGGAGTAAAGTTTATAAAAGCATAATATAGCAGAGTGTGTTTGTGTGTATATATATATAAAACATATATGTCTTGTATGTATGTGAGAAAGAATGCTTTTTTACTTTTTAGATATGTTTAGAATAGTCTTTTTAATACTTATTTCAGTGGTGGTGGCAAAATTATAATCTCCAGGATACCCTCACCAATTCATAAAAATGTTTGGCACCTAAATATTTCTGGGACTTGGTTTTCTTATGGTTATCATTCTTAAAATGTGATTATCTTTCAGTCCTAAAGTTTTGACTCAGACTAGAAGTGTTGGCATTCTGGAGTTAGTACTGTAATATTTGAACAGTGCTGTAGGGTTTATAAAAATATTACTTACATAGTTTAATCCCTGAACCCTAACTTAAGTAGATTGAGATTCAGTCAAATTAGATTTAGGCAAATTAGATCAGTTTACTCAATATCATATATAAATAGTAGAGATGAGCTTGAACCTAGGTCTTCTAAATATCCCTCTTCCCTTCTCCATATTGCTCTTCATTTGTGAATTCATTAAAACCTGACAAAAGGTCTAACTTTAATATGTAACAATTTCTCACAGTATTGGTTATTCTGGTTTCAGAACCCCAGGGTTAACATGTCTGCTTTGATGTCAAAGATTAAAAACACTAGTAATGGTAATAAAAATTTCTTCCCCAAGAGAGTTTCAGGAATCCACATATCTCAAATAAATCATTTGCGTATTTTCAACTTCTTTCTTTCTTTCTTTTTTTTTTTCAGTTAGGCTTCAGGGTCTTGTGTGATTTATAATCCAAACTAGTAACCCAGAGGAACATATTTAAGGAAATCATTTCTTAAACCTATATGTCTTTTTAAAAGAGAAATGTATATATTATTTGCCTTTCATCTTGGTATTTACAAAGCCTAGATAAATATCCCCCCTTTTAGTTTGTTACAGTACTTCTGTACAAAATTAATTCTTCCCTTATGTTATTGGTTTAACAGTAAAGAAGTAGAAGATTGTAGGTTACCCATTTTTACTATGATTCCAAATGTTTATACTGTGTCCTGCTTGCATTTAGGAGCATCAAATGCAGTTTGGTGCTGTTCTTGAAACTGGTATGGATTTATTTTCATTAAAAGCGTCTAAAATAACATTATGTGCTAAGCTGTGGTCTCTTTTATCTCTGAGAAACTTGCCCGTCTTCAGCTTATTTATTTTTTGTCTTTGAGCCACTCCCATTAGTGCTCAGGACTTACTCCTGGCTCTGTGCTCAGGGACCACTACTGCCAGGGCCCAGGGGAGTCAGATGAGGTGCCAGGAATTGAACTTGGGTAGGCTGCATGCAAGGTAAGTTGTGCTATCACTCCAGCCTCCGTCTTCAGCTTTTAAGACTTAACTTTCAGAAGAATGTCTTTTCAAAATATAAAGAGGATGTATCACAGACCCTCCTCAGTGAGGATAGTCTAATATTCCCCTGTGTGAAAGGAGAGAGATTTATTTATTTAGTTTTATTTTAATAAATCATCATGAGATACAGTTATAGACTTACAAATTTTCATGATTACATTTCAATCAAACAATGTTTGAGTAGGGTACTAATCCTTCCACAAGTGCCCGTTCTCTACCACCAATGTTCCCAGTGTTCCTCCTGCCATCCCCACCCCTTCCTACGCCCTGCCTCTGTGGCAGACACACTCTTACTCTCGCTCTCCTTTTGGGTGTTATGGTTTGCAACATAGGCACTAAGCAGCCATCATGTTTGGTCTATAGCCTACTTTCAGCACGTATCTACTATCTTCAGTGATCCCTCCAATCATCATTTGCTTAGTGGTCTCTTCTCAATCCCACCTGCCTTTTCCCCCAGCATATGAGATTGGCTTCCAAGCCATGGGGTCACCCTCCTGGCCTTTATCTCTTCTATCCTTAGGTGTTACTCTCCTGTTATGTTACTTTATATTCCACAAATGGGTGCAGTCATTCTGTGTCTGTCCCGGAATAACAGAGCAAAGAATGTCTTCTGGTATTTTTATTATCACAGTAATGTATTTTGGATGCTAGAGGAAGAGTTTCGACAAAGAAGGCTAATAGGAAACCTTATGTTTTGGAGTGTGAACAGGGCTTTTTTGTTTTGGCTGTGTTACTGATGAGGTTTGCTCTTCTAGGGTTGCTGTTGGCCAAATGGATATTTCAGGTATATGTGATCAAGGACAAGATTCTGAAAAGGAGAATCCATAGGGGAGAAGGTTAAGAACAATAAAGTGTTACAGAGAGTGGTAAAGTGTTTCAACTTTAGCAAATTTGCCACTACTATGAGACAAAAATTAGTAAAATATATATATGTGTGTGTTTTGATATTTGAAATCTTTTTAACAGTTGCTTATGTA